CAAGAGAATGGCCAGCATGCCTGGTATGTGGTAAGTGATTCTGGGGATGGAACAGAGGAGATCAGGCGGAGAGACGGAAGCTGATCATGGAGGCCTCAGTAGAGAGTTTGGATTTACTCTGACATGGTAGAAAGTCAACAAAGGGTCCAAGTAGGAGAGAGAGAGTCTCTGATTTGTAATTCCAGAAGCAGTTCCCAGACTCTGAGGTGCCAACATTTCCCTTCCTGACTCCCCACAACCCCTAGCTCCCCTCCTCACTCTCTGTTTAGGTACTGTAATGGGGGATGCCCACTCCTATACCCCTCAGAGACAGTAGGATCTTGCCAGCCTATTTGGACTGAATAACCTCCATCAAAAACAAAAAAAATCAGATGTCAAAATTTAACATCAATGTGGAGCCTTTGGAGTGATTAGGTTATGAGGGTGGAGCCCTCACGAATAGGATTAGCATCCTTATAAAGAGACCCCCAAGAGCTCTCAGCCCTCTCTGGGCCATGTGAAGATACAACAAGAAGCCATCTGCAAACTGGAAAACAGGCCTTCATCAGACTCAGCCAGAGCCTTGATCTTCACCTCCAAAACTATGAGAAATAAGTGTCTGTTGTTTCAGCCACGTAGCCCCATGGGGTTCTGCTGGAGCAGCTCAGACAAAGACAGTGCCTTCGCTTGTTCTCTGTGGTACAGAGCTCTGTGCTACAGGGAAACCCAGCACTGGCAGGTGACCAAATGTAGCCTTCTGGTCCCTGGTCCAGCTGGGTCCTTTTACGCAGGCCAGACACCTCTCTGCATCAGGGAGTTTCCATAGAACGTCTTCTCCCTCCAGAAGAGGAAGCAGCCGCTCCCACGCACTCCTCCCCTGTGGTTGCTGCCTGCTGGCGAGAGGCTCAGAGGCTGTAGAAAAGGTCTCAGAGTCTGCCCTGATGTCTCACGGATTCCAAGCTGGGCAGAGAATAGGCAAGAAAACCAGAAAGTGGACGCAGCCCAGGGCAAAGAGGGGAGAGGGTATTCTAGCTTTACTCTGCATGAACCCTCTTCCACTCCATCAGGCCCTCTGCCTCACAGTGCTGAAGCGAGATGAATGATATGAGGCTTCACACTCCAGGGGCTCCCTGGCTAGCAGGCCAAAGGCACAGCCTCATGGTAGTTCCCTTGAGCTTAGGTATGTGGATACTCTCTTTACAATAACGACGGCATGGTAAGGTTGGATGGCCATCTGTAGGCAAGGCCAATAGGGAAACCAATAGATTTATAGAGCCCCAAATGAGAAAGACAAACTATAAAGGATTTTGAATAACAAGAATTCTCAGCATGTGAGCAGCACAGGACAACATTGTTCTAAGAACTTTGCACATCCTAACTCACCTTAAGCCTCACAATGGCCTATGAAATCACTACAGAAGCAAATAAAGGAGAAACTCCCATGCCCTCCAAGTGTGATGCTGGCTGTGAAAGAAAAGATTGGTATGGTTGAACAGGATAGAGGGAAAGGCCTTCAAAAAGTTCATGGAAATGCATGTTATGAAAAAAACTATGCATGAATTTCAAAAAAATGTTTGCAACAAAATAAATGCTGACTTTAATTTCATTTTTCCATGAACTTTTACAAGTTGGCAACTCCTATTCCTCACAAGACCCCATTAAGAGAGTACCAATGTAAACCATGAAATGACATTGAGAAGCACATATACCCAGATGAATACATAAAGAGCACCTATAAACCATTCAAAATAATTCAATCCAAAATGAGCCATGGACTTGAACCAACACCTTGCCAAATAAGAACAGGAAAAGACGCTCAACATCATTAGTCATTAGGGAAATGCAACTTAAAAGTAGGATGACATGTCATTGCATACCCTTTTGAATGGCTACAATAAAAAATACTAACAATATCAAGTGTAGATGGGGAATGTGAAGCACCTGGAACTCTCCTTCATTGCTGGTGGGAGTGCAAGGGCCCAGCTGCTCTGGAAAATGGTTTGGCATGATCTGGTAGTTGAAGCTCTTCATATCCAAAGACTCAGCAATTTTACCTTAGATAAACACATGGACTTGGATAAATGTGTAAGAACATAACCAGCAGTGGGGTCAGCAGGTGGCATGGTGGTTGAGGGCACTAGACTAGCACATGGCCGACCACAGTTTGAGTCCCAGACCTGGTAGCTTGCTTTCTTTCTCTCTCTCTCTCTCTCTCTCTCTCTCTCTGTCCCTCTCTTGTCAAATTAAAATAAATAAATAAAGTTAAATAAAATAATTCTTAAAAAAAAAAAAAAAGAACATAACC